GGCATATATAATGCCAGAGCATGTGTCTACAGAAACATGCACGAATTTCTGGCATCCAAATTCAGGTACATGGGTAACATCCATTTGCCATATTTTAAGAGGCAAAAGGCCTCGAGGATTAACACCAACACTAGGTAAGTGGTGATAAATTACACAATGAGGGCAATCTAAAACTATTTGTCGGGCATCCGCACGAGAAAGTCGAAATTGTTTTTGTAAAGCTTTTGAGTTAACATGAAAGTTATTATGAAAAGTTTTTGGTCTATCCAAATTTGAACTAAAAAAAATCCAATCTTGACGGGTATAACAATCAACAATATCATTGCCTTTGCTTAAAGGGCCAGGCAGACCAGTATGGCCGCGAATATGTAAGGGATAGAAAGGGTGTTGTTGTTGCCAAAGCAATCGTTGTAAGTGACAAAACAAATATCCAACAGGAGAGGCCTGTTTTATTGGCCCTGCAGCCTCCAAGACTCTTAAAGCATTTATAACATAAGCAGAGTCTGAAACTAAGTTAAAAGGAAAAGGACAGGTTTGAAACACTTTTACAACACTTTGTAGGCAAAATCTAAGTCCTCTCCCAACTTCTCCCATGAGGCTACCTGAGGCCCCCGGAGACTACGAACCAAGGAGCTACAATGTTGCATTCCTCAAGGAACCTCCGTAAAGTAGCCTTTTTTAACTTTAGTCCTTTCAAGCTTAGCAGCTCTTCCAGGGCCAGAAAAATTGGATGTGATGAGGAAGCGCCATCTTAGTTTTTTTTTGTTGTTGTTACTTTCACTTCAGGCCTGTATTTTATTTCTTCCCGGGTTTCCGCTCTCTCTTTTATCTACGGAGATGAGCAAAAAATCCCTCCCGCTTTTATCGCGGATCCCCTCTTACCTGGGACCTTACCCCGCTCTTGTCGCGGATTCCCCCTTTTCCTGGGAACTTACCGGTGCACCACCCTGACCGCAGAGAGTTCTGAATCCTGTCGAGCCCCACGTTGGGCGCCGCTTGTCGCGACCGCCTCGACC